CGCTCTTAACCACTACGCCACACTGGCCACACTGGAATGGCAGATCCACGTCCAGCTATCCTAGGGGCTCCAGCTCATCTTAGCCTTACTGCATTGGCAGGAACCATAGGGCGGTGGGGGGCAAGGTTTTAGGATTGCAGCACTGGGACTCCAAAACTCCTGTAGCCTCTAAGTCAATTGTCTGGAGGCCACTGGACTGCATCCTATATTGCCTAAACCCTCAGAAAATTGAAAATAAAGAGCTTGCTAAAAGAGACATCTGGAAATCCTAAGACCTTATGTTTGGAACAATTGCATGGATTTTCCAATGTTTTTTTTTGTGGTATTGATTTACATTCGCTACATTGATACATTTTAATTTATGCAGTTATGCATATGTGTGTGTTTTTCTTTTTATTGAGTTTTTGTTTTATTGTGGAGAAATTCTCAACCAAAATAAACTGAAAAAGGACTTCTTCACACACAGTCTGAACGTGTGAGTGATATCCATGAGAACAGTCAGGGTCTTGGCATTTCAGCTGATGCTTTCAGGAAGGGCTGGTATGGGGAACCCTTTAGGGTTTGAGAGGCTGCTTCGCACCCCTCTGGAAGAGGCACGGTGGGTGTGCAGCCCGCTCTTGCCCATTTCGTCTTCACCGCCATCGTGTGATTCGGCTTGAATGGGGGGATGCATCATGATCTGGTCTTACAGCCTGGACCATTCTGCCTTGGGTGCCCCTGCTGGGAGAGCAGCCTAGCAAGACTTTTCTGCCCTTCTGACAGCATTGCTCTCAGCTTCCTTGACACGCTTGAACCCCTTGCTCCTTCAGGGTGTTCATCCAGGGGGGCCCCCAGTGCAGCCTTCCTTTTACCTGAATCAGCAGTGAAGCTGCACTTAGCGGGCTTCTGGTCCCCAGTGTCCCACGGAATGGTCCAATGAGGGACGGGGCTTTGTGGTGACCTGTGCTGCGTCCAGGGGCATCGTCTGGGGGAAATAAGGATGGTTGCACCAACAGGCTTCCCCAGCATAGTCAACCTCTTGAAAAAGGATTTTCCTCTCCCTGGAAAATGTGTTTTCTTTTTTGATAGCCGTTTTTGGTACCCCCAAATTATTGGAAAAGCATCTGGGGTTGGAAGCAGATTTAGGGGTGCAAAGCCATGCTAGACGAAGTAGAATTTTGCCCGCTGCTCACCACACCAGCACCTCCATTCACTTGAAAGTGCCTCCCAGAGGTTTGGGGGACCCTTCAAAATTGGGTGGACTGTGATGTGTAGGGAGGGGATCCCTGAAAGTCGGGGAGTGGAGCTTGCTCAGTGGAAGGCAGATCCCTGATGGATACGTCGCTCCATCCCTCTGGACTTCACGCTTGGGCCAGGATCTAGGGGTGAGATCCATGCAGCATAGTGTTCCTGTAGATTCCCATTTTACTGTTTCAGCCCAAAAGAATACCTTTTTATCTGGAAGGCGTCAACTGTGAATGTTTCTAGTGGCATGGTATTAAGGGAAAAAGAGACGCTCTGGAACCAGTTCTGTATTTTAGTCAGTGCAGGTTTTCCAGTTGATTTGCAGACACAATAAATCCAACATTCCACACGAGAAATGGGCATATAATTGAGCACTGCACTCACCTGCTATGTTGATGTGATGTATCCTGCTGGGCTTTGAGCATGTTTGACTATATGCTGTACTAAAGCAATAGGCACACCAATATGTCCCTCCATCTCCTGGTTGGGCATTGGGAATATAGAATTGGGCCCTTCTAAAAGGAAAAAGTGGCTTTTTCCACTTAACTTGCAGCCTTCCTGGAGTTCCCTCTTTGAAGAAATAGAATGTTGGTCGTTCATAATGTTTATAATGTTTACTCTCACAGGAAAAATCAACACGTTCTCCCACTTTGATCTCATCACCAGGGAGCACTGAGGAGGAAGGCTTGGGAAGCGTGTGCTTTCCTGGACAAGGAAGAAAACAGGAATGAAATTTGCAAGGTCACGTACCTTCAACAAACTCACTCTAAAATTGGGAGACATTGAGCACAGTACACTGTTTGTATAAGGCCCACAAATATACAAGAGGAAAGATTAATCATTTTGGGACATAATCCAACACAGCCTAAACATCACTTTAAATCAGTTTCTGGTCAGCAACTAGTATTGTGTGTCTATGTGTTTGTGGGTTCAAAGCACAGTATTTTGAATGGAGCAAGAGGTAAAAGGCCTTCAAAATGGGCTCTTCTCAGAAAATTGATGCATTCATATCATGGAGCTGGAGGAGAGCTTTGTGAATGCCCTGAATGGACAGAAGGATGAACAAATTGGTCCTAGATCAAGTCCAGCCAGAAAGAAAAATGATGAAACTGAGGCTGTCATAATTTGGACACATCATGTGAAGCCAAGACTCCCTGGAGAAGACAGTCATGCCAGGGAAAGTAAAGGCAGAGGAAGAAAAGGACAGCCAACGAAGGGATGGTTTGCCTCCAAGAAGGAAGGCATAGCCTTGAATTAATTTATTTATTTTTTGGTTTATATCCTGCCTTTTTCCTACAAAGGGCTCAAGGCAGCTTACATCTCCTCCTCCATCTTATCCCCACAACAACCACCCTGTGAGGTAGGTTGGGCTGAGAGTCTGTGACTGGCCCAAAGTCACCCAGTTGGCTCCATGACTGAGCGGGGACTAGAACCCGGGTCGTCTGAGTCCCAGTCCCACACTCTTAACCACTATGCCACACTGGCTCTCATTTATAACAGCTAGGTAGGAATGCTAGGTAGGAGTTCCTACCTATAACAGCTAGGTAGGAATTTATAACAGCTAGGTAGGAATGTCATGGGTGGGACATTTTGGACGGCTGTCATTCATAGGGTCGCCGTAAGTCGGAGATGACTTGGTGGCACATCGCAACAGCACTCAGTGCCAACTCCTGCAAAAGCAACGGAGGAGGAAAGGGGCCTTTAACGCTGGCCTCTCTGACTCCTGTGAGAAGCAAAGGAGCAGGGCAAAGCTGGGAAGGAGAACAGCTATTTCGGTTGCTCCTTTATGCCTGCAACCCAGCTTTTCCTACTAGCAACCGGTGGGATGGTGGAAACAATGGGATCTGCGTTTATTCGTTATTTGTTTTTCTGCGCCAGGTTAAGACCTTTTTATTCCAGCGGTATTGTAATAAGTTTTAATATTGTTTTTTCTGTGGTTTTAATTGCAGTCCGTGTGGGTCGGGAATTTTATTTATGTTATTTATGCTATTACATTGTAAGCCATCCTGAGGCTTTTTTTGCGATGAGGATGGCATATAAATATTTTAAACAAACAAACAAACAAATATTCAGTATGGATACATGAAGCGCATGCAGAAATATTTTTTATTGCCACAACGCCCCAAAACCAGCATTGCTGAAGTAATGGGTTGAGAGAGGGAGCAAAACACGGCCCCTGAGCTCCGGCCCACAGGGACCCGGTTCCAGGAAAGGGGCGCTCCCTTCTTTCTACAGAAGCTAGTCCAGCCCTCTGAAAATGCAGCTCAGAGGGCTTGAGACCTGGACTAAGGGGTGGTGTGTGTGGGGAAGCAATTCCTGAAACTGAGGCAGCCCTTCGTTCAGTGGAAGGGAAGTCCTGGATCTAAGTCTGGTGGGAACTGCAGCACATTCTTAGCTTTGTTATTGCCCTTGGGGTTCACTCTCATGCAGGATTTGGAGAGACTGGCGCTTAGGAACGGGGGAAATGCCTGGTAGACCATGGAGACCCCCAAGGTGCCGTCCAGCCCACATTTCATGATGACTCCAGCCCCGAAGAACCAATTTTGGTCGGGAAACCTCCCTTAACAAAAGTTTCTAATGCTGCAGAATCAAACAGGCAATACGTTCAATATTCACTTAAGTGTCATTTGAGAAACTGCTGCCACAGAAGGTCTGAGCGACGCGATGCCCTTACCTGGAATGTTCGAGTGAAGCGTGTTGTCGGGATGGGAGCACCGTGTCCCATAGCCTTCCTTGGCACAATATGTGCAATGATAGACTCCACCGTTTGACCCTTGAAGACTGAAAAACAAAGCCTTTCCATATGGAAAAACTGGGTAGATTTCAGTGTCCAGCTCTGGCCGCGTTCCTTTTCTGGAGTACTGGAATTCTGCCCACACACCGTCTTCACCCTCACAGACGATGTGGGTCACGTGTTTCTCAATGTTGGCATGGCTGGGGAACCCTGGGGTGGGAGCCAGGGGGTAAGAGGCACCCTGTCCTGGAGGAGGGAGAGGACAGGAATGAAACTGGCAAGGCAGAGCACTGGCAACACACTCGGTCTGAAAAATGAGCAATTTGCAGATGACTTTGAATGAGGATGCAGACAGTGAGTGCTAGTGAGAGAGTTCATGTGAGGTTAATAGTTCTGGGATCATATCCACTGGAGTGCCTGTTCATCACTTCACAAGCTTTTCTGATCAACAGCTAGTTCTTCACAAAAATCCATATTTCCAATGGAGCAAGAAGAGAAACTCCGCTCACGGTCAGCTCCTGCCAGAGCAGGAAGAGACCACGGGCTTGGGGGGGCTTCTTCCCCGTTGCCTGCCTTTGCAGAGCAAAGCGGGACAGGGCAGTGGGGAGAGAGAGTCCTCACAGCCCCACACCTGCTCATTTACCTGCAGGTGTGAAGACACGGACATGCCCGGCAGCATCTGCCAGTCCTCAGGCCTGGGGAGGGATGGGTTCCCCTGAGCCTGGGGCCTTGCTGGCTATAAAGCAGCGGAGACTAAGAAGGCCTTGGCCCAAAGCCCCTTTTATCCAGGAGAAAGACATCGTAGAAGGATACAACTGCAGGGGGAGTCTGCCATACTGGGACAAAACTGAAAGTTGTGCATGGGCAATTGGCTCCTGGGAAGGGAAAGAAGCCATGGGCCGCCTGCTTGCTGCCTGCATGTTGAGTGAGTTGCACCTGCGGTGCTTGGCTTCCTGAGTCACCCAAAGCCAGTGGCGTGCACTGCTGGGGAAGCTATGAAACCGCTCCGGAACCCAACACGAAGCCTGGAGTTCTGGCCTGGTTCTGAAAGCAGCCCCTGCACACCTTGCCAGGTTTGGACAGCATGGGAAGCCTCAAGGTACCGGAGCATCTATACACACCCTGGGACACGTGACTGGCTTGCGTGGAGGTGGAGAAAGGAGCAACCACGGTTCTTCTTCTCAGGGATCATCCAAAGCTCAGGACCAAGTCCCCAGGTTTTCCCTTTCCTAATTCACACCAGCAGAGCTGGCTTAGAGTTTCTTGCAGATGAGGCTTTCGGTGGGCGGCTGGCAATTGATCCATTGGGATGCAGCATGTCAATTCCTGTCGCTGATGTGGCCTTCCAAATGAACCAGCCCGAGTGGACCGGCGCCTGGAGCCTAATGGCAGGGTTGCTAACATGAAAGGCATCAGCCTGGGCTGAACTTTTCTTTTAACAGTGCCTTGGTACACAGGAATCGGCAAAGGGAAGCTCTTGACGGCATGAAGCCGAACACTGGCAGATAGTCATGGGCTGCAGAGCGAGCTGCATTGACAGAATGAAGTGCTGGCAGGTGAAAGCAGCAAGTGGGGTGCCCGTCACCCCATGTGAGTTGGTGCCAAGTTTGGCACTCCCGTCAGTAGGGAAAGCAGCAGCCTGAGGAAGGATCAAAAGAAAGCCAGGGCTGGAATCTAGCAGGTGGCCTCCTTTTCACAGCCTCCAGAAGACATACAGGTTGAAGGAAATGGGGGAAATTTGGCAAGTGCCACTTGGCATCTAGCAGGTAAGAAAAACATTCTGTTGGAGGTGGGTATGGCATGGCGCTCCCATTTTCTTCCCACTGAACACCTTCATTTTTGGCTACTGACACTCATCTCTAGACAATCGCCACAGCTCAGCCTGCCACCAACCTGAAAACAGAGGGTTCCATTCATGAGAAGATGCATAAGCAAGGCAGAAAGCTGGCCCTCTGATCGCCTCACCTGCCCTTGCAGGTGCTCTGGTCCCCCTGCCCTTTCAGGAGATGCTCACCAAGAAGGGTGATGATGAAGGAGAGCCTCATGGCGAACATTCTGCTGTCAGTAGGTATTTGGCTCCAACAGGGCTGCTGCCTCTGGAACAAAGATCTCAGCAGGGGGCTGTGGACCAGCTATGCTGTTTCTTTGCGATGCTATCAGGACTGAAGTCTCCTCGTTATATTCCTTGGCTAACCACATCCCCCACTATGTCAGAGCCCCAGATTGCAAAATCCAGAGGAAATGAGCAGCTCACCAAATTTGTATCTGTGATGGTGAGAAGATTTTGTATAGGCCACACCCCATTAGCATAGAAGACTCTATGGAAGTATTACGAGGGCTGAAGGCACTCAGTGTGTCTGAAAGAACTGGGACCTTAAAAGCTCAGGGTCCATTTTATTCCGCTAGTCACATCTATTAGCAAAATCGAGGTGTGGAGAATATATGAGAAATACATTTCAGTTTGTTTTAGGGTGGAATTTACCCACACACAATTAGAATATTGCGTGAATAGCTTGCAGCAGAATAGCTTGCAACAGAATTCATTGACAAAAGAAAAAGGTACATGAACGCACACAAATAAATGCACGTATTTTAACCAAGGTGTGTACAATGCATGTGTTTTTTGGTGAGCACTGAGGTATCGGAAAAATGTGCTGGCTGTTCCCTTTATACCAACATTTACCCTGTTTGCACCTCCTGAACTTGAGTGGATTGACACACACCGGGGCGGTGGTGTTGCACCGTATGACAAGCCACAGTAGTTGCTTGGGCAGGATGGTCGGTCTTGTTGTCTGAACACCGTCATGATATTTCAGCAAGGTATGTCTGGTCTTTAGAAACCATGATAAGAAGCAACAGGCTGTGCTACAGTTTCCACACTTCAGCGTGGTTTCTCTGGTCTTCTGCAGCCAGCACCATGGATTCCACGGAACGCAGCTACCACAGAGCGTCCTGGGAAGGGTGGCGAAGCTCCTCTAGCCATTCAGCATGGGATTGAAACTCAGGCACGGTGGGTGACAGGATATGTGCAACAGCAGGAGGACTGAATGGGCAAGGTAGGAACTGCAATCGCAAGAAACCATGCCAGGCACATCCAGGCAAAAGAAGTGCACACCATAGAAGTCATGCAGGGTCACTTGCCATGGTGTGTGAACCTAGCCTGTGTGTGGCTGAAGCGCATAGGCTTCTGAGCTTGCAGTGTGATTTGCAGATAAAAGAAAAATGCATTTGGGACTCTGTAAATTTTGACAAATGAACATGCTAAAAGCAAGGAGGAAAATCTGTGATTGTTGGTGTACATGAAAATGTGCACTAGATAAGGCAAATATTTGAGACAATATCAAAGAGTGGGACAGAATGGCTTCCAGAGGACACTGCAAAGATTAACAGTGCTAAAGAGAGCATCTCTATGTTCTCTCTGCAGCTTCAGGCTGAAAACATAAAGCTTTGTGAAGGCTTTGTGCACTGATGTGATACAGAACAAGTATTTTAGTGCCTGAGGCAGAAAATGCAAATAGTTCTCCCAGTTTTGTTAAAAAAAAAAACAAAAACCAAAGTAGTTGATATGTCATTTTCTTTCTAGCACCCAGAAGCTAATTCTTCCTGGAGGCTGCCTCAGTCTCAGTGATGTAAGATCCAGCCCTGTTTTGCTAGGACCTTTTTTGGTGATGGAGCAAGGAAGGACATGTGAATGCTTCTGCTTTCCATGAATTAGAATGATGATAAATGTTTCTTAGTGTTTGCTTTCCTCACAGTGACCCAGTTGCTGGAAGTTTGGATCCTATTGGTGAGAGTTATCCACTCACTGACCCACCATCACTTACAAAATGGGTGGTACAGGGAGAAAACCTATAAGCTCATGGTGCGGGGAAAAAGCACCGAGGAGGAGAAAACCAAGAGAGCAAAATGGGAGAAAAAGGAGGCTGTGGACTGACGTCTCATTGAAAGAAGAGAACAGAGGAATGCAACCATGTTGATCAGCTGTGCTTTTGGCAGTGTCTTTGATGCTTCAAAAGCAACAGAATCAAATTCACACATTTCCTGTGCTCATAATCTGGAATTTATTTATTTAAAACATTTCTATGCCGCCCCCATCGCAACAAAGCCTCGGGGCGGCTCACAACATTCATAAAAAATACAATTAATAATTTAAAAACTGGTACCATCTCGGCTATATATATTAAAATCTATAAATACAATAATAATAAATTAACAGTTAAAATAACTTTTACATAAAAAAGTCTTGGCCTGGCGCCAAAAAGCAAATAATGATGGCGCCAGGTGGACCTCTCTGGGGAGCGCATTCCATAGGTGGGGCGCCACTTCAGAGAAGGCCCTCCTCCGGGCACTCACCCTCCTAATATCATTCATGGAGGGTTCCCAGAGAAGGGCATCAGCTGCCGATCGTAGGGGGTGGGAGGGTATATATGGTAATCCTGACTATTCATAGAAATGGGGGTGTTTTGGGAAAATGTGTAGGAAGAATGCGCTACCATGGTGTGGCTGTTTTACTGGATGATGTCAGTCGCCCGTCACACGGTGGTTGCTCGCCCTCGCATCATAGTACCCATTTATGGGCACCAGCCCTGGTTCCTCTGACTTCCTCTCTCTGTGCCTTTTAACACCCTGCCTTCTGCTTCACAGATTCACAGAGCAGCCAGGTCAGAAGGGGCCAGGAAGCCCATGGAGTCCAACTCCCTGCTAGTGCAGGATGGCAGTAACACCTTCCTGATCAGATAACTGTCCAATTGCTTCCTGAATGCATCTAGTGTGGAAGAGCACACCACCTCTCTTGGCAGCTGGTTCCACTGTCGCACTGCTCTCTCAGTCAGGAATTCTTCCTCGTGCTGAGCATGCACATGGTGTACTCTAGCTTGAGTTCAGTGCTCCGTGTCCTACAGTCTGGAATGGATGAGAGCAGGTCTTTTCCTTCTTCTTCGTGACAGTCTTTGAGGTACCTGTAGAGTGCTACCGGGTCACCTTATAGTTGTGTTTTCTCAGAGCTGAATGGGTGCAGTTCTTTCAACCTCTCATCATAAGATGTATTTTTTGGGCTCTGTATCATCTTTGTTGCCTTCCTCTGAACCCACTCCAGATATCAGCATCCTTTTAAAGCCGGCCTGCCCAGGTGTATGCCAGGTGAGGTCCGACCAATGCAGCGCAGAGGGGAAAGAACACTTCTCTATTTCTGGAAGTGATTCCTCTATTTATGCATCCCAAAAGAGTATTTGCCTTTTTTGCAGCTGCACCACACTGCTGGCTTGTTGACTACAACAGCTCCAAGGTCTTTTTCTTTGTCGGTGCTGCTGAGCCAAGTATTCCCCATCTTATATCAATGCAGTTGATTTTTTTGCCTAAGTGGAGAACTTGGCATTTCTCTCCGTTGAATTTTATTCTGTTGCTTTCTGCCAGCACCCAAGCTTACTAGGTCTCTCTGGATCTTCTTTTTGTCTTCCAGAGTGTTAGCTATTCCACCTAGTTTATCATTTACCCACTTTATCATCTGCAAATTTAAGTATCTTCCCTGGATTTATCTTATCAAGACTGTGAATAAAGATGTTGAAAAGTACTGGACCCGGGACTGAGCCCTGTGGTACCCCACTAAGTGACTTCTCTCCAGGATGAGAAACTACTCTTGATGGTCACTCTCTGTGATCTATTTTCAATCCAGTTGTGGATCCACCTAGTAGTAGTTCTGTCAAGCCCACATTTTGCTATTTTATTTATTAGAATACCATGGGGCACTTTGTCAAAGGCTTTGCTTAAGTCTAGGTAAGCAATGTCTACTGGATTTCCTCAGTCCGTTTGGGTGGTAACCCAGTTAAAAAATGAGATTAGGTTGGTTTGGTATGACTTATTCAAAAGAAATCCATGTTGGCTTCTGCTTGTTGTTGTTAGTCGTGAAGTCGTGTCTGACCCATCGCGAACCCATGGACAACATTCCTCCAGGCCTTCCTGTCCTCCACCATCTCCCGGAGTCCACCTAAGCTCACGCCGACTGCTTCAGGGACTCCATCTAGCCAGCTCATCCTCTGCCGTCCCCTTCTTCTTTTCCCGTCAACGGTTCCCAGCATTAGGCTCTTCTCCAGGGAGTCCTTCCTTCTCATTAGGTGACTAAAGTATTTGAGTTTCATCTTCAGTACCTGGCCTCCTAAAGAGCAGTCAGGGTTGATCTCCTCTAGGACTGACCGGTTTGATCGCCTTGCGGTCCAAGGGACTCGCAGGAGTCTCCTCCAGCACAACAATTCAAAGGCCTCAATCCTTTTGCACTCAGCCTTCCTTATGGTCCAGCTTTCACAGCCATACATTGCAACTGGGAAAACCATAGCCTTGACTATATGCACTTTTGTTGGCAGGGTGATGTCTCTGCGTTTTAGTATGCTGTCTAGATTTGCCATAGCTTTCCTGCCCAGAAGCAAGCATCTTTTAATTTCTTGGCTGCAGTCCCCGTCTGCGGTGAACTTGGAGCCCAGGAAAATAAAATCTGTCACTACCTCCATTTCTTCCCCATCTATTTGCCAGGAAGTGAGAGGACCGGATGCCATGATCTTAGTTTTCTTAATGTTGAGTTTCAAGCCAACTTTTGCGCTCTCCTCCTTCACCCGCATCAAGAGGCTCTTTAGTTCCTCTTCACTTTCTGCCATGAGAGTGGTATCATCTGCATATCTGAGGTTGTTGATATTTCTCTCAGCAATCTTAATTCCAACTGGTGATTCATCTAGCCCCACCTTTCGCATGATGTGCTCTGCATATAAGTAAAATAGACAGGGCGACAGTATACAGCCTTGCCGAACTCCTTTCTCAATTTTGAACCAATCAGTGGTTCTGTGTCCAGTTCCCACTGTTGCTTCTTGACCCACATATAGGTTTCTCAAGAGTCTAATAAGATGGTCTGGTACTCCCATCTCTTTAAGAACTTGCCACAATTTGTTGTGATCCACACAGTCAAAGGCTTTAGCATAGTCAATGAAGCAGAAGTAGATGTTTTTCTGGAACTTCCTAGCTTTCTCCATGAGCCAGCATATGTTGTCAATCTGATCTCTAG